TTGTAGTAAAAGTATTTTCCCCACTGACGTGTTTTCGCTCCCAGAGCTACTCGTTTTCCTAATGACTTCGCCAACCACGTGACCAAATGAACGAAGCTCCGCACAGTACTGACGCATAATCATACGTCATGGGATATTGAACGCGCATGCCTCAAACTCCCCAATGATATTGCCCGGCCAAACATTATTAATTAATTCCCGCTATATATTTACTCTAAGCATGAATAAAATTGCTCACTTTGTTTTCCTAATTTCAAGAGATATTTTAAAAGTATGAAAGGTCTGAAATGTACTCATAGCTAGAAGATATTAGTCTAGTTTTTCTTTTGTTTGTCTCGCAACGCGCCTCCCTACCCCGTCTCTAAATCAAAAAACAAAGGCCTAGCCCACACTACGTCGGAGGAATTTGAAAACGGAGGTTTCACTCTGAAAACGCATCAAATGTTTTCCTTCCACACTACGAAGGAGAAATTTGAAAACGCAACTATCACCGTTCTTTTTGCATCCGTCAGTTGAAAACAACTCGCCCGCTCGGGAATATCATGATAACCGTAATGTCATCCTTTTCGAAAAGCTTCATTTTCAAAATGTTTTCCGTCCACACCAAAACGCAAAGCCGGCGTTTTCAAATTCCTCCGGTTTGAAGAGCGTTTTCGAAAAGCTCCGTTTTCGTGGCGGATTGGTGTGGACGGAAGGACGAAGAAATAAAGCTCCGTTTTCAAATCCCTCCGGCGTAGTGTGGACACGGCCTTCAGGGAAACTCGAGTGCTTCAAGATAATTTGCCGACAACGAGCGACGATTAACTAACAATTCGACATTGGCCTGCCACTGTTTGATTAGCAGCTGTTTACTCTGGTGCTGTTGCTGAGTATGCAGCTCTAAACAAGTTATCTCACGGCAGATTGTTCCACTCCATATCAAAGTCCGTGGAGATCTTCGAATAAAAGCCATAAATCTGTGGCCAAAATGACGCAAAGACTGAAGACGGACTACGACTTAGTCAAGTTCTTTACCGGGTCATAAGTCCGCTGAGAAGCGAGACCGCCGGCGCAAGACAAATCAAGACAAAGGAGCTTAAAATGCGTGAGGTGCTACCTTTCTTTTCCATTACTGAACTATTGTTGTCGACTGCAGAGTTAGGTCGAACTTCTACCGAGCTGGGAAACACTTCATCTGGAGTAGACAATCTTGTTGAAGCTGAGACCAAGCCAAGCGGCTGTGGATGGCTCGAGTTTCCTGGGACAGAGCTCTGCTGATCAAGGTATGCCACGTCTACGTATTGTGCTTTTACTCCTGATGAATCTTGCACATGTTTCGAGGCGGACTGGGTGCTAGTCGGTGTTGCGCTGTCAGTGGTCTTTGATGAAGAAGTTGCTTCGACATTTGTTTGAATTGCAGAACTCAATTTGGGCGTGCTTTTGTTTGAGGTCATTTCAACTGACTTTGATAGAGTCGATGAACTAGCCAGGATTATAGTTGCGAGATCATCCCTCGAACGGCTTGTATGAAGCATGCAGATCGGGTCTTCGTTTTCGTATCCGGGGCATTGACATTCTTTACGAGTTACGTCATCTATCGGATTGCATTTCCGGCCAGGCGCACAGTAACTCTCACAGTGGGATCCAGTCCACAAGCTGGAGCGCAGTGCTAATGGCCTGGGACTTTCCCCAGGTGCAGTTTGAGTCACGTGACCAATGCATCCCTTGAATCTGTATGAATAAAAGAGTAAAAAGAATAAAATGGCATTAAAGGTTAATAAACTCAACCAAACCTTGGTCTTTGTTCAACGAAATGACAACTTGGTTCGATCAACCACCTGGTAAACTATTAAAACCTTCAAGTTATTTATTTTTCATAAGCACTCCGAAATTTCATAAATTTTCTTTAACATTTCTTCTTCTTCTTCTTCTTCTTCTTCTTCTTCTTCTTCTTCTTCTTCTTCTTCTTCTTCTTCTTCACTGTTTAACATAATTAACTTGTGGAATTCTTTTAATTTTTGCCTCACAAGACAACTCAATGAATGTTTTACTTATATTCAACTTACCCAGATGTAATAGTCTCACGAAAAATCCCCGGTTTTGCCAAAAAATTCGAATTCTGGGTAATATTCCACGGGATACCTCCCACATACAGAGCTTGCCACCTTTCTGACTTGGAAGACGCATATCTGCAGGGAATAGATTGCGAATAACATCCGTCTACTGTTAGAGAAACATCGTTCAGTTGTCTTGTTAAGCGAAGACGATGCCACTGAGAATCAGAGAAGTTTCCCTCAACAGTAAGCTGTTTCCACTGGCACTCATCAAAGGTTATTCTTGCGCGGATCTTTCCATTGACCAGAAACAAGTCAAAGTGGTTGTAGATACTGTCATCTTGATATGCAAGAAACGCGGTGGGCTTACGAGTGTTGAAAAGTAGCGAGAACTCTCCAGGTCCTTTCCACGCCTCGAAGACAGCGTTAGAATTGTATTCGTTGTAAGACAGGAAAACACCAGTAGTAAGGTTTTGCGATGGAATTCTTGCTTCGGCACCTAGCAAAACCAGACCAAGGAAACTTAAAAAGCTAGTGAACAATGGCATCGTAAAGCGAGTTGGCTAAACTGATTAAGATGTTCTTGGAGTCAATGCGAGACGCACGTGTTGGACGCCAAAGCGTCTTTGTAAATGACACGTTTCACGTTTGAAGAGTTGTAGTTCTGTACTGCTGAACTACAGCAGGACAGTGTGTTTATTATCAGTTGAAACAAACCAATAACATTCGTGAAGGACACGATAAGATCAATGTTTCAGATTATCTTGGGCTTCATTCACAGGCATCCCAAGCTAAAAATTCGACTCTGCATAAGTGGTGTATGGGAAAGCTTGTGTATATAGAGAGTTGTATGGGAAAGTCACCTATCGTAAAAAAAATTGTGTAAATGACTAAATGAAACAAAGTTTTCCTTCCTCCTTTGTGTCGCGTACTTGTCTCTTTTGAAGCCATTCTGACGCCGTTTAGTGAAGTTATTCGAAACCGTTGTCTCTCTTTCTAAAAGAAGGGACACAACCCTCGTGTTGTCTCGCTTGACTTGGTTCAAATGGACCAATCAGAGTTGAGGATGAAACCAGATACTTTGACCTTTCAAGCATAAAAGGAAAGCCGAAGAGGTGAACTTTAAGCCAAATTTTTCGTTCTTCACGAGTCTTTCGACCGCCGAAGCACACGTATGTGGAGTGAAATTTATTGGGCTTTATGGAACGGTTTTATTATGATTTGGGACTATTTCTTTTGAGGAGAGAGCGATTTGTGGGGTGACGTCCGGCCAGCGATCGATGGCGTGGTCTCCCTTTCCCTTCTTTTAGAAGGAAAGACAACGGTTTCGAATAACTTCACTAAACGGCGTCAGAATGGCTTCAAAATCGGCGCAAGAGACAAGTACGCGACACATTTGAGTAGGAAAACTTTATTTCAAATTAGATAGCTATTTACACAACTTTTTTGCGATCGGTGACTTTTCATACAATTCTCTATATACACAAGCTGTCCCATACACCACGTATGCAGAGTCAAATTTTTAGCTTGGGAAGCCGGTGCTTCATTAAGATTTTTTGACTGAAATTATGCGTAAACATACTTAATAAATAAGAACCGCATGTGGACAATATGACATGAAAAAAAAAAAGGTACAACAATTGAGCCTTTCTGGCCTTTCTAACGATGTCGAAACGTTCATATTGTAATTGCAACCTTTTCCTAACTCTGGTTTAAAGCATTGTTAAAACAGAAGCAAGCATTTTTTCCACGCGTCTTGAATATAATTATTAGCCAACTTTACATATTCATAACTGCTCATGCAGAGTGTTTCAGTTGCGGTTTTGCCAGAAATTAAAGAAGTTAATTTGAACACGCATCGCTTGACAAGTTCTAAATGAAAACTGGTTCTTTTTATTGACAAAAAGAAGACATACTTCGTTCTGTTATCAGATTTACGTGATCCTGGTTTCTGTGTTATTCTACCTCGAGGCAAATCAAATTAACTGAGAAAAAATATAAGTAACCGAAACCTTAATTCACATAAATGTACCTAAAACCTAGTAAATAATAATCATACAACCAGTAACAATCGTAGTGTGAATTGTCAAAGATTTCCAACCAGTCATAGCGGTTTTTGATTTACTACAAAATGATAACGTTTTTGCTTTGGTTTTACATTAACAAATCGCTGTCTTTGGATAAAAGATTGTGTAAGGGTAAAATCTCAGCAGAGGAGCCAGGTGGCTCATGAGGCCGGCGCTTATCTCCGGTTTCTGTGGCATGAAGAGACCAGGAGTATTTCTACTCCCCCCTAGATGGGATGTTAGTTCATCGCAGGGTTACCCCAAAGTATTAAATTCGCAGTACCCATTTATACACCTGGGGTAGAGAGAGACAATGTGAGAGTAAAGTGTCTTGCACAAGAATACAACACAGTGTTCCCGGCAGGGCTCGAACCAGGACCGCTCGAGCCGTAGTCGAACTCACTAACCATGGAGCCACCGCGCCTCCCATTTGAATAGAAGGAGCCATGCAATATTCTAACCATCAATTTTAGCTAATCAGAAGTAAAGCCAAAATCAAAGATAACAAGCTGCACAGAGTTTTCCCGCGTTTCCCTCGCCTGACGCGAACTGCTTGTTTAGCTTTGAGTTTTGATTGGTTCATCATGATATCTGATTCTGCTGTGATTGGCCAGATGAGATTATTCTGAGTCATTTAGCACTTCAGGAGAGTTTTACTGGCTTAACGTGCGAAAAGGAAAACTAGAGAATTTGTATGGCGGTTTAATCCAAATAAAACTCTTTGCGGCAGACGCAGGCCGTCTGTAAGCCGCAGTGAAGCTAGTAGAATTCACATAAAATAATGCAACAACAGAAGTCTATCTTAAAGCAGTTTTACTTTCCAATACCAAAAGTCTGCCCGGTCCTCTACGCGCACGGTTTCCGTAAGTTATTTGTAGAGTAATTAACAACCTAGCTGAAATTGGAACAAGCCAAAGAGGCGCTATGCTTTTCTTATCAAACGCAGAATCTCAGGATATAAAGGAAACGAACACAATGTCATTATTAGTTTTATTTCTAAAAATGAATCAAATTAAAAAAAATGTCATTTTAAAACTATCTAGCGATCGTATCCTTTATGTTCGACTACTGCAAATGGAAACAGTTAGACAACGAGCAGTGACAAGTAATCACATCGCAGAACGGTAACAAAGCATAGTCAGTGTCCGGTTTAACAGCATTTCAACCTGATCAATTCTTCCTTGAACGTTCTGCAATGCTTTTGGCTGTGCTGTCTAAATGGAGCCTGTTATAGTTGTCGCACATTTATCCGCTATTGTTTAATCCCAGTTCATAATAATGTTCAATTACATGATCCACCTGTTTTTTTTTTAAGCGTTCACCCTCGATTCATTTTCCTAAATTCTTTTTTGTACAAAGCAAAAATTTAATACTAATAATGCTTGTTCATATCTCGCTAAATATTTAATTTACAAGTGAAAAACATGCGCTAGGAGCTTAAATATAAAAGCAAACTTTTTAGGAGGCGCAGCTGTTTTGGCTTTTCTGTTAGCGTTCTCCTTTCAAATGCGCAGCAAATAGATCATAGAGCGTCTTAGATTCGACCCGACACATTCCATACTGATGACGTAACTCTAAGCAAACTAAATACATGTAATCACGTGACATCAAAGAACCAGGCATTGGCTCTCATCATGATAATAAGATATCATCCTAGGTAATTAACCTTTTGGAGTTATACCGTGATTTTCTCCTTATACAAAGTACAAACATGCCATAAATTTGGATCGATATGAATTCCAGGCTTGGAGAAGACGATTCAATGCCTTTTTGTTGCCGTTTATGCTAATCTTAATTCAAACTGACTTAGGTCATGCACTAGCATTGCCAAACTTCAACAACAAACAATGCTCACACTCTTTATCACTAACAAATGTCGCAATCGTTCAGTCATTGCATATTTTTCCTGAGTGGCGAAGAGTGGTAGTCAAATCTCTGGAAATTTCTCCAGCAACTTAATCTTTCGTAACAAATCTCTTATTGATTGGAACGCTCAATAATTGTTTATTTTATATCATTTAGATTCCTTTACATTTTACGTGTTCCTCGGTTCAACGAGCTATGTACTTGCATTACTGGTGCATATGAATCATTTTGAATAGTTGCTGATGTAACTGTCACACTCAAGACTCGTAGAATGAAACCGTATTGGAACCACACACGACACAATCTCCTAGCAAAGCTCACTCGGCACGCCTTTAAATAATTACAAGCTGCTCTGTTCAATTCACACTCTGGAAGCAAATGCAGTCTACATTGTTTGAAAACATTCCTCTTTTATAAAGAGCTTTTTTCTCCTGACCATCAGGTAGTGATTAAGGAATCCGTTTTGGATCTCGCTCAGTGATCAAAGGGCCACCTCTTTCGTTTCCATGGTGTTTAGCAACACTCAGCACATAACACTGACTCAAACTGGAGAGCACCCTTAAACTTTCTCATCGTGTGCTGAGACATAAATGCGAGGTTTCGCGGTTGGCTGAGCGCTGTGTTTTGGCGAATTCCCGCAGCTGGATGAAGCAGACTCAGGTTTAAATGAGCCACTGTAGCGAGAGTTCCAGCGGTACAAGAAAAAGATTGTCACTAGAATGGCAATGGCTGCTATAACCACCAACACGGAGATGATCCAAAATGGCACCACCTGCGGTAATGAGCGCTGGGCCTGGACTCCAGTGGGCATGGGGCCTGGGTCAGTGGAGAGGCGAGTTGCTGACGTCATCACGCCTTCTTTTGAAAAAGCAAAGAAAAAATTATAGATTTTAAATAGGCATTTTTAAACATTTGAAACATGAGAGGTACAGGGTTGGGTTTTGTTACTGACTTTCTGGTACAGTTTAGGCGTAAACGACCTAAACGTAAATGGTCGTAAGGGTGTAATTTCATTAAAGTTATCAGTCGACTGACAAACACTGTTCACTTAACTCTGAAGATGACTTCCACTCAGGTTGTCGAAACGTCGTGCAGTCACCAACAACAATTCTTTTCAGAACCACCCTCACCGGAAAAATCACACTATACAAACTACTGACACTCCTGGGTTCAAACCAATTACTCCGCTGCAATTAAGGGAATGTAATTTAGCGCATCTTCACGTACACTAACATAAAACGCAGCTTCGGTGGGATAATAACTCAGTTTGTGTTAGACTATGAGTAGTCCCTCTTTCGCTTAGTCCGTTGAGCAATACCGTAAAACCGCGAGGAAAAAAAGACCGCTCGCTCAAGATTTCGCCTTCATGATTAAGCGCGGCCATTTTTCTCGCGGTGTTTTTTCTTGTCACTCCCAACGGACTAAGCAAAAGAGGAACTACCCATAGTCTAGTGAACCTTCGAAGACAAAAATTTCATTTATACGAGGACAGAATTACAATGTGACCAACCGATTAACGCGGGCTTTTTAGAACCAATTTTTCTTCAATTTTAATCAGACCAATCATTAACTTTATCGAACTTTGAGGGCCCTCCTCTTGTCATACCTGAAGGGGCATTAGTAGCTGTGCCCCTGCAATCCTCATCCTCGTCGTCCCCGACCGGGAAGCACCCTGAAGCGCTGCCGTCAAGTATGATAGTTCCATCAATCACAATTCCAACTTTTACAAATCGTCTATCCGTAATCGTAGGCACGATGCTGTCAAAGACCTTCGTGTGCCTAAAGTAAAACTCTTGTAGATATCCACTAAAGTTCTGTTTCGATTCGGATTTTCTGAAAGCGTTCCTTGGGCCCCCAGCCAAGTACACTTTGGGCTCCAGGCCCACGTTAAGCTGAGAGGATTTCCCGGGCATCTCTCCACCGGCCTGGGGACGATGATCTATCTTTAAAGCGACTTTACGACGCCGCCTGCTAAACTCGACCCAGTGCCACTTGTCGTCATTGACTTTCACTCCTTTTCCCGCCAAAACCAGCTGACCTATAATGAGAGCACATAAATGTAAGGTTTTCCTCCAAGACCTGGAGCGAAACCCCTGCGTTCAGATTTATTTTAAAGAGGATATTAAAGAGAATACTAAATAATTCCTAGGTGATGTTATTTATCCTTTAATTAGCAATCCACGTGATGGAAAGCGTTTTCACAAACATTTGTATCAGTGTCTGAGTTGGGCCAATACAAATGGCAATTTTTTGGTTTCTTCTCAATTGGAACTACTCTTGATAAGACCAAGGGCGTAACTGTTCAAAGGATAGAAATCGCTTTTGATATTCATCACGACCCAAAGAAGA